AGGAGACCAGTAGTGGTTGGTGTTGAGGGACACTCACCAACCCCCATCATGAAAGTCCCAACAGCTAGGTGTAAAATACCAAGCACACACAGTGTCTATGTGACAGGAAAGCTAGATGGCCAAAGGTGCAACTTTGTCACAGACTCTGCATCTCAGCAAACCCTTGTGAGCATCAAGGTGTTAGATCACGAAGGAGTACCAGAAGCCATACAGAAGCTTTATGGTGTGACAGGACATTCTACAAAGGTTGTGAGGACCAGTGTGGGTAACTATTGAGCTCATGGGCATAAAGGACAGACAGAAAGTATACTTGGCTGACATTGAAGATGAATGCATATTAGGATTGGACTATCTACCACCAAGGAAGTTTGTAATTGATTTTGATAAAATGACGTTTGGGAATAACAAAGGCCAAGTTCCGGTAACTGTTAAAAGAGAGGTTGAACTAATTAGGTGCCATCAAGGTGAAGTCAAAGTGACTGAAGAAGTTGATGATGACGAAGTGGAACCAGGTCAAGAAGACATTGGGTCACATACGACAAAGATTTTATTGGATAGGCATGAGGCGAGATGTGAAAGAATGGTGCTGGACATGCAGTACATGTAGTGCAAAAAGGGGACCCAAGCATAAGGGATGCCCAACTTATGAAGAGTTGCCTGAAAATATGTCAGAGTTTGTGAAAGTGTTATCGGAAAGGATGGATGATGTTCACTATCAAGTGCGTTCAAGCTTGAAAACGTCTGCTGATTCAATGAAGTTAACTTATGATAAGAGATCTACTGAAGTCTGCTTTGTACCTGGAAACAAGGTATGGTTGTATAATCCCAGGAAGACCAAAGGGAAGTCTTCTAAGTTGTCTTCTCCATGGGAAGGCCCATATGACATAGTGGATCGTCTCTCAGACGTGACTTTCTGGGTAAAATGTGGTCGGCGAGGTAAACCAAAAGTGGTGCATGCCAACAGGCTTTGGCGTTATCACGGTCCAGGACATTTCAGTTGGGATGAAGTGGACAACAGGACAGAATGATGCTGCTGAAGACGTGCCACCTGAAGAAGCCACCGTCGAAGAAGAAACTCTACTCAGTTTTGAGAAGGGAAACGGTGAAGCTCTTGATGAAGTTACTGATGTGACTGTTATCGACGATAGAACATTTCCTGATGAAGCAGATGAACCCCATATGAAGCAGAAGCCAACGAGACGAAGACCAGTACGGAAGAAGATACGTCCCGTAAAATTAAGAGACTTTGTTGAATTGTAATTTTGTGTTTGTAATTATGTACATTTAATTAAGTTATTGTTAATTGTTATTGGTTTATTGTATGTGGTTATTGTTCGGGACAAACAATACTAAGGAGGGGCAGTGTTGCGTCAGTGAGGTCACATGACCTATTTTCTAGAAGTATCTTGTTCCTTCGTGAATGCCCTAGTATTTACTAGATATATGTTTTTCTGGTATATAAATAAGACGCTCACAACGTGACGAGATAATGTGTGTAGGTAGTGAGTAATCGAACTGCAGTCAGAAGTATTGTTGACGTTCGTTGATATAGCGTTTGTTTTAGCGCGATTGTTGAAAATAAGTGTATCGTAAAGTTATATTCAGAAAGAATAAACCAGTTTTATTAAATAAGGACTTGTGTCGCTAAAGTTTCGTCGGAACGAATTTACGGGAAATCAATTAACAAACGGAGACGTAACAATACTATTAGACACAGAAATATTAATAATACATATTTTGCGATTATCAACATACATTTCGCTCATCAATTTCAATAACTTTGATTTTTTATTTTAATTTCTCTCTCTCTCTCTCTCTATATATATATATATACACACTCATGAACTTGAGCTATCTCTTTTATTACAGTACTTAAATTGCGATAATTTTTGTCTTATGCAGTAATATCTGAAGGTTTTTAACACGTCCCTCAGGAGCCAAGGGGTGTCTTTACACTAAAATTTGTTGAATATTAAAAGTAAGTTCAATCCGGAAACTTCCAAAGAGGGTGGTTTTGGACGTATCTTTTCGAGACAAGTTTTCGTTTCTTAATTGATAAATTTTTAAGTGAAACACAGCATCCTCATGTCTCCATACTAGCTAGTACTAAGGTCTACCCATTGGGCGTATATACAGTATATATCAATAAAGTCACATTCTCAGCATCATTAATTAAGCATTTGCCAACCTTTTATGCTTCTGCTGTCGCCTTTTTATGTTTAGCTTTCAATTGAGATACGAATGATTTCACCTGCGATTCGATGGGGAAGGTCGAAGCATCACGATAGTCAGCAGTAGGATGAGCAGACAGGAACACTTTGAAAGCAGCTACAGACATAATATTGTACTCGGCTTGCAGCACAATATCTACCAAGGTGATTCTAAACGGTTCCTGAATACCTCTGCGTGTTATTTGGAAACGTCCATGCTTCTTGTACTTGGCTGTTAAACTGACGGATTTCAGTGAACTTAACACTTCAAATCACTTTCGCAGCCCCAATGCTAAAATATTGCAGGAAATGCTTTCTTTTTTAGCTAATAAACATGTCCAAAAAATTTCAGTTCAAATTAAGAAAAAGCGGATTGGTTAGTATTTTGTTTTTGTCTCGTGTGGGGCCTGTTCAAAAATCGTAAATTCGTACAAATTTGGTTGTACTGTTCTTATAGTTACCCAAAAGTTCCGGATATAATTTAGGAAATCATGATTCAGCGTATGATACTGTGCCTCTTCAACACTGGCACCGTAGAATGCAAATTCGGCACATCATGAAATTCGAAACGCACGACTCTGCCCTTGTAATGCAACACATAACCAACAAACTTACCCAGTAAGTACGTAGCTTGTTATTCTCATGATATCTAGGAAATGAGTATTCTACGAGCTGAAGGGAAAAAATTCGAAAACTGATTCACCCTACAACGACTTGCCCTCGTTATTCTCGTACGTTCGTATCGTCTTTCTGGCGAGGTAGACTTCTGCCCTTCGTTTAATATTTCGTATAATAATATACTAAACTTTATATAACGGTAGGTTATCAGGTTCTTTCACACAACAATCACATGAATTTTGTCCTCTTTGATGTACAGAATTCTATTATCATCACTTACACACGCAATTACAGGTTCAATTAAGATATATATATATATATATATAAGTGTGTGTGATTAAAATATATGTTATTCGAATAGTTTTGAAAAACAAGCAAAGAAACCAAAATCGGCATGATACAAAAAACGATTAAAAAGAAATACATTGTTGTGAAATTACACCACGCTGTACTAATACGAATCGTCAAAAAATAATATTTTTTATACAACTGAAAGAACGCACGTTAACTGCTGATACCGAATAATCTAAGAAATTGATTTTTTTTTTAACTGACAGAACAGTAATGGTTATCTCCTCATGATGTATAGTTGGAGTTTTATCTCGAACTGACGAAATATTTAAAGTTGTCATCTACAGATGTAGTGTGTGAACTTTATTTTAAACTCATATAATAGTAGATTCAAAATGGCAGAGAAACGTTTGATGCTGAGTAAATTTAGTTTCTTAATCGATAGTCATCAACAGTTGATATATATATATATATATATATATATATATATATATAGTTAGATGTAAAGTGTGAACTTCTTTTCCAATTGCAACATAACCACAGTTGGACATATACCAGTGTAGTTGGACTTTTGTTTCCAATTCACAAAATACTTTGTTGTATGAACATTGTTTTCAACTGACAAAATAGTATCAGTTGACTGTTTGTTTCAGAACAAAGCTACATTGGGCTATCTACTGTGTCCACCATGGGAAATCAACCCCTGGATTTTAACATTGTAAGTCCCAAAACTTACAGCTGTCCCACTTAACAATTGATACCTCAAGATACAGTGAGATTTGTACTGCATACAGAAATTATCAAAATGATTGAAAATTCCATTAATAGTTTTTATTTTGTTTGTATATCTATAGCTGTAATGTTAAAATGACTATATATGTATATATAGTCATATAAAAATATACCCATAAAAATTATATTATGCTGTTAAAAAAATGTAAAAAACATATTAACTCCAAATCATGTAAATACATACTTCTGATCAAAATTTATAATTAACTTAAAACATCTTATGTTTTTGATAAGAATATCACCTATTCCTATTATTTGCCCCAAATGATGATAAAAATATTTGATGTATTTATGAATACTGTATAGAAAAATGGTTTAAAATATCCGTGAAAGAAATTCAATCTCTTCTTCTCTCTCTTTTAAAAACCCCACAATGTCTGTTACTCAACACTATGAGTATTTTATTATTAAGAAAAGGATCAGGAAAACAAGCTATATGCAAAACAAGCTAGTTCAAAGAAGTTCATTTTCAGAATCACAATTTTACTGGGAACAAAAAAAAATAGTACATTTGATATCCATTTATTAATAAAGAACAGCAGATGAAGAATATATTTCAAATATTGTGACTTTGAAAGTTCACTGTTAAGTACATAAATGTATAAATAATTATTTTTTAATTTCGACACATTAAACATTAGTTTTTCATCAGAGGAATAAAGCCAATGGTGTCTTATCTGATCTTCAGCTTCAAAATCATTTGGTTGAATGTTTGTCTGTACTATTACATGTATTGGATAAAAACTTACCAAGGAAAGAAACATTGCAGAAATACTCGTACAAATCAAGTTTTCTAGAATATTAAATAGATAAAGCTTTCAAAATGGAATAAACAGTATCTTATATCATTACCAGATCAAGCACATGACCACCAACTTGGTAAAAAAGGAATATCGAAGAGAGAAATTTTGAAATAAAATTTAGGAGTTGATTAAAATTGTTATTTTAGAGGAAATATATTTAAAAAAAAACTTGCACACAAAAGAATATACCAAAATTGAAAAACGTTAATACAAAATACTTGAATAAATACCGTATTTATTTTGATAAATGTTTATTTTATGAATGATAATTACTAACAATGGATACCCTTTCTTCTGTTATTCCTAATGTCAAAATATTTCCCTGCATTTGTTTGTTCGTTGTTAAGCACAAAGCCATACAATGGGCTATCTGTGCTGTGCCCACCATAGATATTGAAACCCAGTTTGCAACAATATTAGCCTTTAGGCTTACCACTGAGCCACTGGTTTTGAAAAATAGACCTAAACACTTTACACAAGTGTTGGAGGCAAAATATGGGTGTGTGGGGGCAAAACTGGAAATGAATCAAGCATATTAGAAACTAGGGGTTCAGATGCATGTTCCCCCTAAAATATTCGTAATTAGAGTGGCAATTTGTGCCTATGTCGTTGCAATAAGAGCTAAAATATGATGAAAAATATTTAAAAAAAAAGAGAAGAAAATGAATGTGAAAACAAAAAGTTTAATGACCTGCTTACAAGACCTTCATTTTTTACCTTAATCTCTTTATCTTATCTTTTCAACTCTTATGTTTGGCTTACAAATTCATTTTATTATTTTTGCTTAGAGTGAGTTATTATTATGAACCAAAAATTGTGTTGAAGTTGAGGAAATGAGAAATATTAACCTTATTCCAATGTCTGTGATAGATCTAAGAAACAAAACCCAGGTGTTTATTCTAACAACTTTAACTTAACTTTTAGTTTTAAGTATACAAGCATTAATGTAAATATATCACAGCTAACTTGTTCATCACACATGACAGGAATATATCTAAGTTGGAAGCAATGACAAAACTTGCCTTACATTGTATTAATATTATGAACACAACTTCTAATTCCAACAAAAACAAGTGACCAATGTTCAAAAGAAACATCTTAATTAATCTGTTCTCCATACAAACTTTGACATATATGTTTTGTCTTTTGTAAAGTTTTTTTTTTATGATTTACACAAACAAACAATAATTTTTAGTAATATTTTTAAAACATTATATAAGAAAACAAAGACATAAGTCAAATTTTAGAACTGGGTTTACCACAAGAAACTCAAAAATAGCAATCTCCAAACTATATGATCAATACATCAGGTTTTGTTATACTAAGTTAATTTATTACTGTTTTATATTGACAAATTGGAATTTTCTTGTTTGGATGACATATTTTCAAAAGATTTTCACTTATTGAAGAATTAGAATTCAACTTTGGTTTGAGTTTCTTGAAAATTTTTCCATTAGGAAATTTACACCAAAGTTGAATTATAAAGATATACATTTATAAGTACATTTTCAGATCAGAACATAACCCATTTCGAGCATACTTTTTATGATAGCAATACAAAACTCAGGTTTAAAAAATTTTATTCAACTATGTCAAACAGCAGAAACCAAAAAGAGTATGTGACAGATAGGTCAAGTAACATGGATGTTTTAATGATACACTAAACTAATACAACAAGTACGTAAAATCATTTTTTGTTTCATATAACACAGCATACTTGTCTAAATAACAAAAAATAATGCATTTTTTAAAGAATAATCTGTATTTATATAATGTTCAAATGTTTTTTTTTATTTCAATTACCCCATGAATTATTAACATGCTTACAAACACATAAAAAACTATATATAATAAAATTGAAACCAATTTCACTTGTTTTACACTACAATTGTTTCTTGGAAATAGTGTAAAGTCCATATGAAACCAAAAAAACTTAGCTTTTAACACTAAACAGTTAGATCATTCATGGAAGACATCTAAGTACCAACAGCAATTTCCTATGTTTGTAACATATATATATATTTTTTGATATTTGTTGATAACATTTTTCAAAGATGTTCTGAAGATTTGTTATTACTATACACTATCACATAGTTGTGATGCCTACATTTGTTGTTGAACCAACAATATAATATATATATCTTTATTAAAAATATATAGCCTATTTGTGGAACAACAATGGTACTTCACGAAACATCTACTCAAGGTCTACATGAGTAGCATTTCTACTGGTCTGTTTATTGTCCAACTACTGACCTCAGAGAGTCGGGTGGAGCCAAATGATTTTTAGATTTGTTGGCTAGTGATGGTTCTAACCCAGATAGTGAGAAGTCTAAGACTTTCGGAGTATCAACCATTAGATAATGGTCTGTTGTTTGCTGTAGAGAATGACGACGAGAAGGGGTTGAAGCTTCTTGAAGTTCTGTGAACAAGTGATTTGTAGCCTGAAGCTTTTTGTGAACAGCATGCAGTCGAAAATGAAGCATAACTTCAGTAAGGTAACCATGGTAATTGTGTCTACAGAAATGTGTAAAAGTCATACAACAACAGTCATTCACCAATTTTCTTGGACCATATTTACAAAAATATCACCAACATAGAAGTGGTGAACAAAAAATACATAAGAAATATTACATTATTATAAAGGAAAAAATATGATTTCATTTACATTTTTCATTTCGTAGATGTTAATGTAAAGCAAAATGTTACATGGCTATGTATTTAAATCAATACTGAATTGTGATTACTCTTTAAATGGATACACATTTACAGTGTAATGTAGAATAAAGTAATATTTGACTATGTTCATTGGGATAGTGTCTAGAAAGCATTTGAATAAATATTCTAAAAAATTGCATTAAAAAGAATTTTTTCAAACACTTTATGTAAAGCCTCCTTGAGCTGTAATAATGTATTGTTGCATCAGCGAGTCACATGACTACTGTGACGCCACGTTTCTAGAACTATCCTGTACTTTGGCGAATGCTCTAGTATTTACTAGATATAGGGTAGTCGGGTATATAAAAGAAGGTGACAACGTGACAGGGTAATGTAATGTGTGTGTAGAGAGAGAGACGTATTGTTGAAGTTAACGTTCGTTCGTTATAGTGTTTGTTTTAGCGCGAATATTGAAATTTAGTGTATCGTAAAGTTATATTCGCAAAGAATAAACCAGTTTTATTAAGTAAAGATTTGTGTCGTCAAAGTTTCGTCGGAACGAAGTTACAGAAAAATCAATTAACAAACGGAGACGTAACAGTATGATAAATCCTAATTTAGCTATATTAGTCTTGATAAACCCTAATTTAGCTTTAACTTAACTGTGACAACTTATGGTAAATCTTTAACCACAGCTAGAATAATGTATAAGATACATTTTTTTAAAGTATCTATTGCATGGTAAAAGCTCAACTAAAGCACAGAATTGTATGATTAAACATAATTTGGCTGTAATAGTGTTTGTTTAACTACTGGAGATCTGTAAGTTGACAATGCACAAAAGAGTTTGTAATAAATTTCATAATAAATGTTTTTGAGCTTACATTCACAGAAATTAGGTTTTGTTAGCTGTTACATGGCAGTATGTTCACTATAATAGACATTTAAAAATCACACCTTTAACCCTTCATTTGCAGCTTGTGTAAATCTGTCTATCACCCCATGTGCAAAGATTCACAAAATTTTATGGCGGGTTATTCAAAACGTTGCATGCAAAATACTTGCATCATATGATGTCAACTGCAGTTGAAGGGTTAATATCATTCACAATAAAAAAATATCAGTTTACCTTGCCAAGTGAAGCCATTGTGAAGCCTCAGAATTTCTTCCTTGTTCAGTAAACATAATGGCAAGTTCTCCTGCAGCATAAGGAGGTATGAAGGAATCTTCCTTAATTTCTTTCTCACTGACATGAAAGAAATAATGTGTCATAAAAAAAGTTTTTTTTTGTAAACAGTACTGAAATGCTTAACACATGACGTATTCTTAATCTTAATGTTTTCAGTCATGTTGCTTCATCTTAATAGCTATGGGTAACAAGTAAAAATAAGATAAAAATACTGCATAAAAATTAAACAAACATTCATTGTTTTAACCAAATAATTATCTTTGGCTGGATTTACGAAAAACACAAAAATATTACTCAGTAAAATATTAGTGTTTTTTCTTCTCAGCAATATAATTATATAAGGATACGAGGTATGGTATGGTATTTCCAACCTGAACAGTACCTTATACAGCATACACGCTAAATGGCCAGGCCAGAGACCCCTTATTCAGGCATAGCCATTCATAATTTAAAGCTGTTGACCAGAGATAGGGAAACCAGTCAACAGTATCATCATCTAAATAATCAGTCTTTACAAAAACTTGGGATTGTTATTTTTATAAGGTGCACACAACATAAACTGTGGTGTTATTCATCAGTAAATGTACGAGCACAAACCTCAGACCTATCAACTTGCAGCCCAGCAAACTAACAATTAGGCCATGTCCAGTCTTAAGGTTATAAGAATTAGAGTAAGGTTACTATGCAGCTTCAGATTGTAGATATCTTTATAGTATGTAAAACGAAAGATTTATATAAATTTTAAGAAATAAATTGTATGATTATGCATAGGATACTTCTTAATAACATGTAAAATAATGTCTTAGAAAGATACCCCTTTTTAGCTCACAAATTACAATTCAGGCCTTATTCATTTATCAAGTTAACTGTGGATACACGCAACTATGTATGTTACGCTAGTTTTTATATTGTAAATTTCTTTTCTGTAAATTGTACTTCTTCTCTTTATGAGCCCCCAGTGGCACAGCAGTGTGTCTGGAAACTTTCAACGCTAGAAACTGGGTTTCAATACCCGTGGTGGGCAAAACACACATAGCTCATTGTGCAGCTTTGTGCTTAACTATAAACAAACAAACAATCTCCTTATGATTTTTAGAAATAGAATCAAATCCTTTTTTTGAAGAAAGAGAAAAAACTAGGAGTTATAGTAGACTATGTAATTCATGATAATTTAGACTAATGCAGTCACACACTATACATTTTCACAAACTATTGTTGACATCTGTCTATTTTAAGGATCATTTCTCACTTAAATATAAACTCATACATACATGTAAATACATTTTTATATTTACAAATAATAATAAAAAAAATATAACAAAGAAGGAACAACCATAGGTGACACAATTTATAAATAAGATCAGAACTTTCACAAAAATTTTAATTTGCTGTATCTTAGAGATAAAGAAAATTTAACAGTAGTATATTATAAGTTTCACTTCTAAATAGCATTTGAGTATTTTTTAAATTCTATTTTAATTTTATAACCGTATAAAATGTTTACATTACGCTAAATAAACAACATTTACCTCCAAATAAAAACAAATGATTACGTCTTTAAGTACAAACAATATTCAGTCCTAAGTGTAAACAAGCACAAACAAACACTACGTTTAAACAAACAGCATTCATGAGTAAACTAAAACAATTTTATATTCTAAACATAGTCAATTCATACCTTTTGTAAATTTCGTGTGGTTTTTAAAGACTCTTTCTATGTATTAGCAATCTTAATATGGAAATTTTAATAATAGCTCTTCCTGTTTTCTTAAAATAACACACTAATAAGATTATGTACTTTCTGACAATTTCCTTGAAATACTCTTCAGCTTGGAGAGGGCAGTCAAGATATTTCAGAACAACACCACGCAATAATGTTAGCATATAGTAGTCATCCACAGCTTCATGATTTTCTGTGCAGTAATAATAATAAAAAACAGGTGTTAAAACACAGTGAAATAGCAAAAGAATAAAAAATCTTAACTCTTTTTTTGACATCAGTACAATATTTAAAACAGGCACACTTAATAACTTTGAATAGATATTATTACTTCATTAAACAATGTTGTTAATAATAGCATCTCATTATGGTCAGAAATAAATGGCATACCTTTCATAAACTATTCAATATTAGTAAAATTATTAACACTATTTTTATGTGTATAAATATATATATATATATAACTGGGTTGGGTGTGGTATAGTGATTAGTGTGCCCAGATTGTAAATCCAACACTTCAAAGTAGTTTGCATCTCATTACTGCAGAAAATGTACTCCACTCTTTAAGGCCATGGATGTGCTATACAAATGATGGTAGAAACCCACTGCTCAGTCAGAAAAACACTAGCCCAAGAGTAAGAAGTGAATGCTGTTGACTTGCTGCCTTCCCTCTCGCCCAGGGATATCCAAAATATGGCCCAAAGAAAGGTATCATACATAATCCATTATAAAAACTGCACATTCAAAAATAAAGTGTGTTTGGTTTCTATATATTAAAATAATTGTTAGCACTTAAAATATTTAAAGTCGCCGACTGTTGTCCTTTTTGCCGAATTTGTACTAAAGTGCAAGGTTATTAAAGTGAAAACATGCCTTTATACATGCAAAAGTAAGTAAGAGTAATTGAGTTTTAAATTTGGTGTATTAAAACTGGTAAGGGTCAGGTATTGAATATTTTGTTCCTGTGGCTTCTGTCTAGAAGTGTACATAGCCTACCAGGCTTAAAAGTTTGAGTCACGAATGCTCTAGTCTATCAGTTCAAAATGGTTATGCACAGATTGCCCTTGTTTAGCTTTGTGAGAACATTCTGAAACAAAGAAAAGTGTTTGTACTTGCTATTAACAAATATAAAAAATGGTGTGCACCATCTAATAGTTGATCATTTTAGCTATTTTGTTGTGCTTCAAACTCTTAGTAAATTCTTGAAACTAATAAATACTTATCGAATCTTGTTAATCCTACTATAAAAATTCAAATATAATTTAGCCTGTACATAAGAAGTACTAGACAAACATATTAACAAACAGCTATGGAAATAAAAATATTATGATAATTCATATTTTAATTCACTTAAATATATTACTATTAAAAATCAATATTTACTTCGCTGTATATTTTGCTAATTACAAACTCTATCTGATACTACTGACTCAAGACCAGTTTTTCGACAGTTTTACAGGGTTGATTTTAGATATTTTGCCACATCCTAGGGAAGTTTTAAAATATAATTTCCAGTGGAATCACTGCACCATTATCATTATTAAAAATATATACATCTATGTAGTATCAAACGAATAAAATATCCACTTTTAGTAAGCTTCGACTTTAGTACTCTTATTTGTGTCTTTCTTCATAGAACTTGGTTTTCTTCATTCTTTTTTTTTTTTAATGATATGGGTGTAAAGTACTATTTTAAAGATCTAGTTGGTTGTTTTATATTTAATGTGGATTATCTTACTGTGTTTGTGTTTACGAACACAGTTTCCAAGTCAGTAAGACTCAACAAAGGATCTATTGAAAGTAAAATTAATATAAAACTTTTCTTAATTTTGACACCCTAAGCAGTACCCTAGTTACATTGCATGCTCACAAAATCCCTGCCTGCACTTACAGATAATGATAAAGAAACAATGTTTGCCACAATTTTGATTCTGAGCCAGTCTTACAAAGACACTCACTCTAGTGAAAACAATACTCCAACAGCTGAGTAACATAACAATAAAGAAACACTAAACTCCTAGTCTCCACCAATGGAACAATGAATGAAACACTGAAATAGCTTTCATTTACCTTTGGCTTTTTTTGCTTTGGAAACATTGCTCTCAATCATGTGCAGGTATACTCTTAACAGGTGTGGGGCTTTTGCCAAAACAGGAAAACCATGCCAGAGGTACAGTACTTCCTACAGAGAAGAATTACTCCATTTTATCAAGTTACATTATATGTGATAAAGATGAAGACAGATAAGGCAAGAAACATTTTTATTTACAAAAGGTTTGGATGTTTCGCTCTTATTTCATTTTCAGTGAAGTCTAAAAATGGTGTTTTGCAAAAAGACTAACAAACATTCTTAGAATTGAAATTATTATAAATAACTTTACTCAACCCTAGAAATGCCAGCATTACATTTTCAATTATTAACAAGTGGTATGGGGTCATAGTATTTCCTTGCTAGTATTCTAGGGTTAATATCCAACTTATTGTTCAAGTATGGTGTTCTTTATAACTTGATGTGTACCATGCAATTTTGTTACCTTGTTAAATAATCTTCCTCACTTGTATCTTTTAGTTAAATGGTTCAAGTACCTTAATTAATGTTATTATATTATTATAATAATAAAATAACTTAGAGAAAAAGGGTTAAATTTATTCATAGAAAAATACATAGATATTTCTCCATAAATGTTACATCATTAAATTGTCATGACTCGTGCTGGTAACCTAAGCCGGCTCTCTCTTAATCTGAACAACATACTAGATAACTCATAGATTAGGCACTTCCTAATTCAATTATTAGAATCATTTGTATTTGATAAAGAGGTTAAAACTTTGGGTTTCAGTGTCAAAAGCATTGAAACTGAACACATTAACATTTTCATAATATTTTCTTTTATGGTTATAAAAAGTTAATACAAAAGATAGAGCCAATATGCTAATGTTTTGTAAAGATAGTGGTATGCAGTGTCCATAGAATTTCAAAATTAAAAATCAAAGGAACACAGGCATATGAATTCTCCGAGCTTTGTTTGATTAAAAGGTTTTAATTTTGACAGCAATTCAAGGATATATATATATATATGTATTCTTGAAAAAAAACCTGAAAATGTATACCACAATAGGTAATGTAAGCTGTTGATCCTGTCTGAAAAACTTTTCTGCTCGTTTTACACAAAACTTTTCAATTGGTGCAGATTTCCCTGCAAATTTCTGTTTCAGTTCTGGAACTTTCCTGCAATAAGATCACCCAAAGCAATGAAGGACAAATATATATTTACTTAAATATTCATAATATCATTTGAAATAATAAGAATACAAAACATTTACTCTAGAATTTGCAGTAAAATAAGTTTTAACTGTGGTGAAACTGTTTATTATTCTTGTGATTTCATGTAAAAAGGAAAATTATGCAAAAGTAAAGACACACTGAAACTAAAATACAGTCTTCAAATCATATTTTTCACACCAGATCAAAAGAGCAATGGGATATGAACAGTTTTAATGAATATATAAAAAAGATTAGTATCAGAGGTGAAAGTATGCAATAGAAGTTATTTACCTCTGGTGTTGGAAATTATGACACAACTTTAAGTATACCAAATTGAATACATCACACTTCTAAATACAAAATACTAATAAATATAGTTTTAAAATTTACACAGAACATTTATATGGAATTGATTTACACACTAACTTGAACGTGTTAACAATTTCTTCCAACAAGCTGGTCTTTCCATCCAGCATCTGCATATACAGGAAACAACCGTAGAGGTAATAATAAGTGGCTGGTGACCAGCGACACTCCTTACACAAGGTATCACAGCAATTTGCTGCATTAACCCAGTCACATTTATAGCTAGAAAATGTAAAGCATTTTTATAAATAAAACAGTAAAAATATGCATGGTCAAAACAGTTTGTGAATCAGACTGAATAAAACTCCAAATGCTTTCAACGGGTCCATCCATCATAAGCCTTACAAGTCAATAGTATCTATATAAATATAATAGTACTGTCTGTTGTCTGTCCGTGTAACTACTTTGCAGGGTGTGGATGAATCTTCACCAAATTTGGTATGGAGGTTCATTAGGTTCATGCAGAGGTACATACAAATCTATATATATAATAGTACTGTCTGTTGTATGTCCATGTAACTACTTCTTCACCAAAATTGGTATGGAGTTTCATTAGGTCCATGCAGGGGTACTTAAAAATTTTCAGTTTTGCATCTTGAGTTTTGCAGTTTTTATGGGCATTTTTGCATCTTTTACCACTACTTCACCCCCTGTAAATGGATATTCACCAAATTTGTTATGGAGGTTCATTGGGTCCATGGGGAGATACACACAAATTTTCATGTTTGCATTTTGCAGTTTTTATGGGAATTTTTTTGCATTTTTTACCACTACTTTGCTCCATGTAGATGGATCTTCACCAAATTTGGTATGGAGGTTTGTTGGGTCTATGCAAAGATACATACAAAGTTGCTGTTTCACATTTTGCAGTTTTTATGGGCATTTTTTACAATTACATATAAGGAAAGCAACTTTTTATGTCCTAAGATAACCTTTCATTAATCATGAATTTACATAAATTCCATCCAAAGGACGAGTACTCCAGCTAGTCTAAAATATATTCCTAACAATTTGTTTCATTCTTCACATGTATATAATATGCAATATTTTAGATTAAACTTGTAATTTACAGAATAAAATTAAATGAGAATCAATAGATCTTCTCAGTCACTAACTTAGTCCTATGAGCATGGGTGGGGTCATAGTGTACATGTCATGATTTTTTGTTCCATTAAATCTGCTAGTATGTGTGTGTGTGTGTGTGTGTGTGTGTGTGTGTGTGTGTGTGTGTGTGTGTGTTTGGTGAAGTGATGCATAAATAAAGTTATCATGTATTCCATTCCTACTCGCCATGTGTCACTCTGGTGATATAAATATCTATTTGGGCAATTTGGAAGGGAAGTTTCATATGAACTTCTCTGGGGAACACCTTTCAGAACACTATCAAATATGTAATTAAGTAAGTTTAACCACACAAACGTATCTAAAGGTTAGTCAATTTGATAATAAATAAACACACACATACATATGTACATATATATATATATCTAGAGAGAGAAAGGGAATATAAACTGAAAGAAAAGAAGTATTGGTACTTTTATGTTATTAAAAAAAGATGTATATGTTTTTCTTTAAGAAATAAAAGCTAAATAAAGTATGCAAAAAGCTGAAAATACAAAAAATAGTTTCCAAAGCTTAAAGGGTCAGAAATGTGATCAGCATTTTAACCAAAACCATTGATTGAGAGCTCAGAAAAATAATGTTTATGATTAAATACAAGTTGTAGGATCATCTTTCATGGAATAAAATAAATATAAGAAGCAGGAAAAGACGTATAATGAAGCAAAAAACAAGTTATATAAGAAACCAAGTTATTCTGTGAATACACAAACTGTTTAGCCATTGTAAAGGAAATTATAGTTTAATTAACTGAAAATGGCCTAAAGTACATACTATGTTATAAAAGTAAAAACTGGTTTCAAAGTTTCAAAAATAAGATAATAAACTTCATAGTTCGAAGTCAGAAGATTAAACTCACCAGTAACACCATATCTTCTCCCAGAAGCACATGTAATGGAACTGTCTCCATTCTTGCTGTGCTTTAATGCTATCATCATATGTCTGTATAGCCTGAAGCATAAAACAAAAACTTTCATTTATGACTGTTTAGTCTGAGATAGGCGGTAAATCACAATGTAAAAAATTACACACATCTTTTATGTATGTTATAGTATGAATATTCAGTTTTAAACTTCATCACATTTTTTTTTCCTCCAGTATCTTACACTCCTAATTTTAAACAAATACAAGACAATAAATATTTCATTCAAGTAAACCACGTTTAAAAAGCTAGAAGATTACTTTAACCAAATTCTTCACTGCTAACTCTAAAAGGTGTATTAATATTCAGTCATTTATTTTCCAAAGTAACCCCCACAAACACAACAATCTGTTCATGATGAATCAGACAGTTTGACCCAGATACTTAAAACAGCAGAGCTTTCTTGCAAGTCATCTTTCATCCTTCAGCAAAATACATGTGTCAATCTTTGCATATAGCTATATGTCTTATTGTGATATACTTGTTTTTCTTAACTGAAGTCAGTATAAATTACATTTCATGAAACCAAACAAAAAGTTGTAATGTTGATTTGAATTGATGAGACTGTACTATTATACCAGAGCCTGATGAAAAAAAAAAAGAAGATATTTTTAATTAATTGAAATATGTACAGATCATACTATATTCAGCTTTTTAAGTTTTAGAGTTGCAATTCTTTTTTTATACTAAGTCCTTTGTTTTGAATCTTTAATTAACTATTTCTATATTCAATACATTTACAAAGTTCTTCAGTCTTTACATCTGTGAACTTAGCTGTTTGCATGAGTTCCAAGAGTGAGATTCTATAGATCATGGGACTTTCATTTGTTGTTCAGTTTCCATGCATCTTTATGTTATGTTACTGAAATAAAGATTAATTTGTTCAAATCTTCAGTTAGCTCTACAGGGTGGCTATATTTTTTCCAAACCTTTTTCCCTGACTTTCAGGCAAAATTCCAGATTCTTCTAAACCTACACATGCACACATTGATGTTTCAAACTTTTCTTATAATCTTGGAATTTTAGATCACCTCCACCACCTTAATTAAATGGTAATATAAATTTCAGAACATACTTCAGATTATGGTATTACAGAAAAAGATCTTCAAAATAAAAAGACACTGCAACTTCATGATAGACAATAAATTATTTGCATTTTATTAATAAAAGAATATTTTACCTAACCTATGATCAAATACAATGAATTAGATAATTATCACTAGCTAAAATAACATAGTGACTGACCAAGATTATGTTAAAATATACTTTTGTATCCTATATTTTCAATGTATTAAATCAGGTGTTTGCTAGAAGTGAGCTTGTCATTACAATGACATCAAGATCAAGAAGTTCATGAAATATGAATACAATATAAATATGAGTAATCAGTAATGACAGAACCAGTTCAATAACAGACAGTATGCTAAGCAGCAAGTTAGTGAGCATTGATTGATTGACTGATTGAGTCAATGTCAGAAACACTATTCAGCATTAATAGAGAGAATGACTGCATCTATTCAATTACTTTCTCAATTATGCACCTGTTTATTTGTTAAATCTAATTAAGTTAAATGTACATACCATTTATCTCAGGATTTCTATTAAAACATTGTTTGTGAAGTTAGGCCTAAAAAGTATAAGTGAAAGTGGCTGTAGCAAATGTTTATTGAAGAGATAAATTAGTTACCATTGCATGGACTGAGCTTGACATAAATTTTACCACATAATCAAAGAACCCTTACAACAATAGAATACACCAAAACACTGGTGTCAGAAGTGGAATTATTTTGGTGGATATAAAAAGAGCTTTTGAGTAAATATCAACTTCCAAGTAGACAACACAAAGTAAGATCAGAAATTTATTGGAGCTTTTGAAATGGTTAAAAGAAGGACAAGAAGAAACAGAAAATGAGAGTAAGACCAAAAGAAAAGAGAGAAAATTATAAGAAAACCACAAAAAAAAGACAAGAATTTAAGAGAAGAATTAAAAGAAAGAGATGCAGTGTTTAAAAAAGAATCAAGAACAAATACGAACAAAATCAATGAAGCTATTAGAGATATACAGAAAGATTACAAGAAGAAGATTGAAAAAAGTACAGAAAGGCTGTGATTACAAAAATCAAAGTACAAAAATAAATCAATGACCAATGACAGAATAAAACATTTTGAAAAAATTGGTAAATCCAAATATTAAACAAGTCACATCTCTTTCTGCATTTGCACAACAATTCTAACCTAAGGTACAACAAAGTTTAATCCAAGATGTGGCATCCACAAATGAGGATGAAGTATTAATGTGGTCTAACTTATTCAGAAGATCAATAATTGTGCAGAAAAAGCCTCATGGAAGACAGTTGCTCCATACAGCCTAAAGATAAAGAAATACTGAGAACAGTTGGCTTCATTATGCCTGCAAGATGAATCGTTATACTGAAAATATCAGTGGACAGAAACAATGGCTATAGTTGGTACTTCCACTCTCGCTACATTCAGAAGCACTCTGCTATCTCGACAACCTTCCAACAGCTGGATACTTAGGCATTAAGAAGATACTGGAAAGAGTAAAAGAACACTTCTATTAGGGATCTGTAGAAAACTGGTGTAAATCATGTGAACTATGCTGTAAGAAACAAAAAGCACAGGCAGATACACCAGTATTGTGTTGGTGCATCACTTGAGAGAGTTGTTGTCAACATGCTTGACCTTCTACTACAGAGTAACAGTGGGAATAAATACATCACAGTTGTGATGGACTATTTCACCAAATGGCCTAACCAGAAGCAGATATTCTAGCAAGGATTTAAAGAATTCCTTTCAATATTTGGAGTGCCTATAGAACTTTGAGTTAACCTTACTTGTAGAAATGTATAAGATCCTTGGAATCTAAAAGACCAGGACAACAGCCCTTCATCCACCTTCCAGTAGCATGGTGAAGAAATCCAACTGTGCATTTTAAAATCAATTAGCCATTTAGTTGGATGAACTTCAGAAAATATGAGATCAAGATTTTCCAATGCTACTTACGAGTTACTAAACAGCAGTACACGAAGCTACAGGCAATACACCATCATCAATGATGTTTGGTAAAGAATTTATTTAAAGTGCCATTGGACCTTCTGTACTTACATCCAGAGGACACTCACTCAGCAGCCTTACACAGAATATGAAGAGAGAGTAAGGAACATGATTGATATCATACACAACATTACCAACAAGTTATAAAATGACGAGTTGCAATAATGTTAATACAGATAAGACTGGGTTCCATCAAGATGATATGGTATGGCTGTTAAATCCTATCTGCAAGAAAGGATGAACTCCAAGGTTAAGCAAGAGTTTGGAATGGTCATATATTGTAATGAAGAGAATTAATGACATGGTTTACAGGATCCAGAAGGTTTGTTTGTTTGTTTTGAATCTTGTGCAAAGCTATACAAGTTATCTGCACTAGCCATCCCCAGTTTAGCAATGACAGACTAGAGGGAAAGCAGTTAGTAAATCTAGAAAGCTCTTGAAAGTTAAGAATCAAGAAGCTTTCTGGACTACATAGAAGTAAGAGTACACTAAAAATATGAGTAACCAGTAATGATTGAGCCAGTTCAGTGCCAGTCAGTTATTAAGCTAAGCAGTGCATTAGTGATCGCTGATCGAGTCAGTTTAGTGTCAGAAAAGCTGTTCAGTAGTAAGATTTATCATGCCTATTCTATTCAATTACTCAGCAAAGATAATTAAGTTAAGCATACATACCATTAGTCTTGGAATTATTGTTCAATTATTTGTAACATTACGCCTACAAAGTGTAAGTGAATGTGGCCTTATAAAATGTTTATTGAAGAAATAACTTAACTCATTATCATTACATGGACTGGACTTGACTGATTATTTTTTTTACCAAATAATCCAAAAAAAACCTATCCAACGACTGAGCACATTACAACAATACTAATAATTGGCATAGCTATGCAGCACGATTTACATACAGTGTAACGTAAACAACTATGTTACGACCAAGGTAATTATGAGAATAAATTGCAAGTTTATTATGCATAATACATGGTTCAAAAATTAAAAAGTTAGTGGTCAGTACTTTGTAATTAAATACCTCAAACCCAAAAGTTCATAAAAATTTAAATAGTAATGCTGTCAATCTCAAAGCACACCATATAATAACAATGAATTAGGAAAAAAAAGAACTAGAAAGAGTAAAAAACTAATTTGTAAATTTACACTAAAAATAAGTATATTAAATGCTTTTCAAATATGTCGCAAATAATGGTCAAACAAGTATCTCCAATAAACTATCACTTTTAATAAAAACAAATATATCTTATGTATCACAGTCTAACTGCATGCTCTTGTCAATTTCATTTATCTGCAGAGCAGAGGCTGTTTATTTCCTAGCCAAACCATGAGATTACACATTAGCATTTGTTTTACATAGTCATACATGAATCTGGTATACATACGTCACTGCTACAAGAATCTCACTTGGGTTTTGTAATATAAAAAATGACTTAATATTTAATACACTAGGAAGCAGAACTAGAGTTTTTAAAACAACTAAAAAATAAAGCTAAACTAAACAATAGAAGAAAATTTACATAAACAACAAACAAAACCATAACTAAACATAAAATAGAAATCACTATCCAGGGCCGGATCTCGAAAGGCACGATCTGGCCCTGTCACTATCTCACAACAGGTTGTAAGCTAAAAAAGGAAAAAGACACACAATTTTCTCTGACCTTTTCAGGTTCATGGCCACCCTGATCAAGGACATGTTATCTCCACCTCTCATTTTTTATAGCATGTGTAGTTTAAAAGTTAAACTATCTATTTTCTTAAATAATCGTATGTCAAATAACATATTTTTAAGTGACATTTAAATCTTCATCAATGTATTGTAAAATGTTTTTAAATATTAATTTCACCAACAGTACGCAAAATTACCAATAAAATGTAAAGTATCTAATGCTTCTCACCAAAGAGTTTTCTGCTCATACAGTAAGCATGTATTAGAGATACAGATAATATGTATCAATATTATTGTAAAAGTATATACATACATATATTACTTATAAGTAAGGCATCCATGAAAATCATGCATTTTAATTTCATATGCTCAAAAATTTTCATATTAGTTGTTTAAAGTGCATGAGGAGTTAGATTTTGATACTTCTACACTGAAAAATGTCAAGAATGCAGAACGTATACAAGAATTTGAGAGAAAAAAAAGAAGGTACTGCATATTACACAGTATAATCAAACATGTGAATTTATGTAAGAAGCTGACTGCTAGATAATCAGTGTATAAAGATCATGTGAAGAAAAGCAATTCTTTGTGTTTTGTAAATCATTAGTAATGTGAAGGTTTATATTACTTACTTCATCCACTTTGCCTTGAAGTTGTTTTAATCTTGCATCACAAAACAGGTAAAGTGCTCCCTGAAATTAATCCAAATCTTATTAGATGATGTAAAAACTTACAGCAGTATTGTAGCAATGTTAGTTATTAATCTGACATTGAAAAACAAGTGCAGTGTTCCCTGAATTTAATACAGACTTTATTAGATAATTGTAAACAAATAACTTATAGTGGTATTGCAGCGCCCTCTAGTGGCTCAGCAGTGGGTTTTGATACAGGGGTTGGCAGAGGAAACATAGCCTATTGTGTAGCTTTGTACTTAACAATAACCAAACCAAGTATCATAGTACTGATTATGTTATTCTGGCACTGAAGAACAAGTACAATGTTCCTTGAAATTAATTCAAACTCTATTAGACAATAGTAATAAACACTTACAACACTATTATAATATTTTCTGATCAGCATACCTTACACATGTGGTTAATTAATATTTCTAACAGTTAATCTAACTATCAACAATAAAACGTGTAGCACACAGCATGAACTTCATATTAAAAAACATATACACTCAAATATCCTTAAGATTGGAAGATAACCCGGAAGTAAAAATTTATTGTTAGAAAAAAAACCACCTAAATTATAAGATATGCTTAAGCTTATATTTATGTGTGTGTGCATCTCCCTGTATATAAACATTTTTCCAAAACTAATGAACCATAAACCTACCAAAGATGAAGATTTTATAAGTTTTCTTTATGGATGTTATAACAATAACAACAAATTCTATATACTGGATGAGTAGTAGTTTTTGTGTCACTATCTTTCTTGGTTTTTTGTCAACTTGGAAACTTTTTTGTTACATAGATGGAAGTCTAATGAAATACTTAAACAATTTAGTGCCAACTGTTAACACCCCAATTATTTTCAGCATCGGACACTTATCAGTTACTTCAAAAACAGGCATGAATCTAAATGGAATCATCTTGAACATTTCCCATAAGACTCACTTTAACAATACCTTCTTCAACCTTGTGTCCACTCTCTTTGAAAAAATTAATTTTATATTGTTATTGTGAAACAATTTTCTAGATGATGAGATTTATCCAATCTTTCAATGTAAAATTCGTTCTCCTGTGTAATTGTATATGCTTTTCTAAAGTTACACACATACTTTATCAGTTTTATTCAACTTTCAGTAGTTAACTTCAAACATTAAAGAAATGTAAGTGAGATTTTGTGGCTACTTTATATCTATAGGTACCTTTTATGGGTGAATGTAAACTGTTTTATATATATATTCATGTACAAGCATACCTAATGGATAAGAAATAAGCTAAATGATACAGGTACCTTTGGATATTTCTTAAGCATCTTCTTGATATGCTTTTCACACAATCCTAAATCACCATCACATAAACCTAAATTATTAAACAAACAAATAAAAATTGTATGTTAACTCAGAATATGCAAAACGTTTTTGTTGCATGAAAGTTAAAACAGCTTTGGTAAAGTCTATAAGAAAATTCAATTATGAAAATAAACATATAATCAGTTGTATACGTATTCTTTTAACAAATATTTAGCTCATCCCCCACTATGCTACTCAGATTAATAATGCAATTTCAGTTTAGTTTCATAAAAACAAAAAAATGCAGGCAAGTCCAAAGATGCTAAGGTTTGGCTATTATTTAGCTTCATACACTAAGATTAATTGCACTTTATAATAATGGTGTTCCACATCCTATGTTATCCTTGGACCTATTTCCTCCATCATCAATCATACTCAATCTGACAGTCACGATTACTCAGGCTATTGCCTGAAAAACTTTAAGCAGATCATCTGCTGTACGTGAATGTCAGCTTCTAAGGTTTTTGTTTAAATAGGCTAAAAACACACAAGTTCAATAGAGCAGCACTGGAAGACTAATAGGCATGTGGTTGAATGGGTTTATTATGATTCTAGTTCTTTTAGTTCAACTTTCTCACAAAAGCTGAAAATGTTTTAGGTGTTGGAAGTTTGCGAGGCTGTCAATTTCAAATTCTTCCATTATCTTGATAATGGTCTCAAAAGATATATCCAGCTTTGGCCTTTCGACTTGGAGGGTTTTCTTCCATAACGAAAGCCCATGCCTTGCAGGTGAGAGTTTTGCTCCAGATTGGCTTGGGATGTAGTTTTGAAGCCTTTTACTGTCCCAAATACTTTGGTGTGCAAGTTTTTTTACTTCCAAAAAGCACATTTAATGCTTCCCTGTTTGAAATATTGTGTCATTTGGTTATATACCACTTATCAATTTTGCTACATGAAACTCTTTCCATAGAAAAGGATATGACATAAACCTCCAGCCATAAGTCTACATGTGATTATATTCCATTGGCCTAGGGTCAGGATTTCACCATGGTAAAAAAAATGTTGCCAATGATGCAACAGCTCACATCTGCAGCAACATGCCACAACAATAGAATATACAAACTATTTAGATACAACGAGATTAGTCAGCTGTATTGGCAGTAGTGAAAAAAATACTGTTGTTATAAAAGCTGTAAGTAAGAAGTCTTAATTTATACAAATTACTAAAAATTTTAATATCACACCTGAATATATAACTCTTACAAAATTTACATGAAATAATCAATTTACAAACAGTATATATAAGTTATAAGAAATGATTATTAATGTGGCTTGATTATATTTTACAATGTTCTTATGTACTGGCTATCTCTGCAACAGCCACAAACTTGTTCTGAAATTCTAAAAATACTGGAGTTAAATAAAATTTCCTTACTTACTTTATATATTACTATAAAATATACAGTTCTATGAAATTCTTAAGAAAGGAGTAATTGCTATGGATCATAGCTAATACAATTTTAAAAATGAAGGTTCAATACAGACTTAAGTGTTTGCTAGTGCAACTAAATATGACATTTGTTTAAGAACCACTTCAACCCATACATCATAAGAAAGAAATGATGATCTGTTTACAATTTACCAGGTGTTTTAAAAATCACTTGCACTGTTCAAGAAAGCAATAGAAACTTTAGAAAAATATAGTAATATACATGCATGTTTACATAACACACGTACACAGAAATAAAATAAAAACTTTAAGATATACACACAAAATCAAGACTCACCTAAAGCATACACAACGTATGTATGAAATCCAGATAGGATGATAACACACAGTGGAGAACGTAAGCCATCTCTTAAGTTACATCCTTCTTCTAATTGTTTCTGGCCAAACATCTGTAAAATGTTTATAATGTTGATGTCATTGAGTACTACATTTACTCTACACTTTTAAGTGTTTACAAAAAGAAATAAAAGGATTTATTCATGAAAATTCTAATGCACTATGAGGGACTCAGCAGATGTACATAAACTCTCTTTCTATTTTACTGGGCTTGTTGCCAATGGTATACACTTGCCTGGAAGTGCAAGTATATGCTAAGACCAGCTTTAAGGCACTGTGTTGAAAGTAAAAAAGATAACAAAGTAAAAATGATTGACAAAACACTCTACAATTATGTTACACTGTAAACAAAAATAACTTTTTAATGCTATACTGACTTCTTAGAATAATTACACTTTACGATTACAATTATAAGTATAATATTCATAATATCTACATATATCAGTGAAGCAGAACAAAACTTGTAAGTTATTTTAAATTATTAAACAAATTACTTAGAGTACAACTGTTTTTGTGACATTTATGTTACTCTTCATGTTACAACTAAGAAGGAAACAACTGTAAATTTCAATTATAAAATTTTCAAATTCACTTTTGTCCCCTTCTTAGTGTAACTTGAAGAAAAAGTGACATAAATGTCAGGAAACCTGTTGTATTCCAAATAAAGATTAAAGAATACACAGATTTTGTTTTGCTCCACTTATATTTCCCACTTTGTTGAAGTGACATCACATCATTCTCTTCCTATATATATATATATATATATATATATATACACACACACACACACACACAGATATATATATATATATATACATGTATATATGATGTACATATGTGTAGTTTTATGTAACAAATATAGCTTAAAATAAGAAAAACTTTTAAGGATTGATGTTTCATGCATATACAAGACATTACAGTACTTACCTCCTGAGACTACAAGAGAAACAGGACAGACCCAAGGAGGTAGGAGAGAGCAAGAGATAGAACAGTTTAATTAGTTTGATGCTGTTAGAAGGAAAAGAAATTAGTAAACATTAGAAGCACTTATAGCCTTCCCTTTTTTTCTCTCTTCTAAAAAAATTTAATATAATGCTAAACTATATAATCATAAAAGTATTCCTTTTATATTGGAGTATATAGTTAAATAATGTATTAAATAATACAAAGTGGTGAGCTCTGTTGTAATCAACAAAATTAGTCCTAACTATATGAAAAGATTAGTGTATTTGCACAATTATACAAAATTTTAGTTCATGCAACGAATCAACCAGAAAGTTCATTTATATATATATGAACAATGTATATCATATTTTTATAATTTTATCATTTACATGTACTTGAAAGGCTCTCCAGATTAGCTAAATGTGATATAATCAACTCATTCATGCCTAAAATAGAAAAAACTACACAGAAACTAGAATCTATATTTTAAAAACATATATATTGGTTTTCTGTTATTTTATGAAATTTACAGTATAGCTAATTAAAATTTTTCGACATTTAAAACGTAGGTTAATGCCACATGGCAAATTAAATTTTGGACTTCTACAAGTACACTAAATCATTACTTTGAAAATAGGTTTTATTATTTAGTCCCTACACAGATATCTAGAACATACAGCCTTAGATAAACTCTAAATATTGGAATAAGTGATCTACACGAATTAGCAAAATGTTTCATTCACATGGTAAGAGCAATATTATATCATTCATTTTTAAGACTAGAATTTACTGGAAAAATTAGTGCCAAAGATGTAGTCTTTATTACGTATTATCATTTCTACATACCTTATTACCAGAGAACCCAATAAACTCCAGCAATTTCAGCACCCGTGTTGGGAGTTGTGATATCATCTGATCAGAAAATAAATATATACATACACTATGATTTTGGACAATCACATTACATCTGTGTCATTTTTTAAAACCTATTCCAACTTAAGACAGTTGTTACAAGTTAGTATTAGGACTAATTGTAAATCCTTCACAATACAATAAGAATAATACATATTACAAAATAAAAAAACACTATATTTTATATCCTTAGAAAATTATTAAAATACTACCTTACTACAGACTATGACAAAATTCTTGCATTAATTTTAACAAAGAATTATACAATATTGATTAAAAGATTCAACAAAATAAATTTACACAATTTAATTACTAAAACTAATGCTTTAGCTGCAAAAATTTAAAGGTTTGTGCAATACTGCACTACCATTTGGTGACAAACAAATAATCAAAAACTGTTAAAATAGTAATGATAAGTGAAGGTTTAAGTGGATGACTATAATTCATTTGAGACATTTTTGGCAGGCTTTATTCACCCTTTTTTGGAGCTTATTTTATTACATTTTTAATCTGCTGGTGAAGGTTTTCATCAGGTTAATGCCGGTAAAGTGGTGCAGATGAGAAAAATATCTACTAGTTCACACACTGAAGTGGTTGTATGCATGTATTGTGACATAATTCACAATAATCAAAATGATGCTGAAAATATACACATGTCCAGTTGTCTACATGTTGATCTCTACTAGCTTTCTTCAACATTCAAGAAAAATTACTACTCCACCAAACATAAATATGATTGCCTAAAACAACAACAACAAATAAAATAATCTTCACCACCTGATCACAAAAAAAAGTCCTCCATAGTCCTGTCTTAGATTCTAACAACAGTCTTAAGCTCAGCATTCTGTGAAAATTATATTTTTGTTTATTTATAACAGGTTCAAATCTAATACAATTAACCAATAATCTAAGAATACCCAGGGATCCTATAAAGATGGTAAATACAGCAAACAAAATATCCTGAGAGTGTAGAAACATTAACTTTTGTTGCCACACTGATATTCTATTTTCACAACTAACACTACTGTAATAGCCTAAGAACCACGAAAATTAAAGAAATCTTTTATAAACAAATTGACCACCCAACACTCAAGATCAAGACAGAAGAAATTACAAACTTCGGATATCTATTCAATTTGCCTATGCCACCAACAGCTTCTACAACATCCGATTCATGTGCAAGACAATCTTTCAATCTTTTTTTTTTACACTGTTTTTCGGTTTTGTACTTTCCAGGAGTATACAATCACACTACCATTTGGTGCCTGACATTGCAAGTCTCTTTCATAAATTCATTTTCTATATTTAAACATTTCTATAATTACCTGTATTTACTAACTAAAGACTCATACCTTGTAAATAAAATTGTCATCTTCAATTAAAGTGTAACTGGACAAATAAAATTAAGGAAACCTTTCGGATAAAAGTAAAAATAAGGTAAAACTTTGAAGAATTAATTATAAATAGTCAGAAAATTCAACAACTGTTTTATTGTTAAGGATGATTTCAAGAATAACTTTGTGCTAGTATGATGGATTCTATTGGAGATTTTGTTAGATAAGTTGTGATTACGAACTGTATACTATTAGATATTTTCTTGTTTTTCTTTAGAAATAAACAATATCACAAATATTTTAAGACTTAAGGGAGGGCAAGGGGGCCATCCCTCTGAATTTCATTGCCTCTCCCAAAATTAATATTGTTCATTAACCTAATTTATGATATATTTTAGATTTGGCCCCACTATATGTCTCATTGCCCTCATTCCACCCCACACACACATACAAAAGGTGGAGCCACAACTGATTCAATGAAATAATTGAAATTTCTAAACTTTAGGACTTTTTCTGTTTAATTTTAGCAAATATTTTTCATGTTAAAAGTATTAAAGAAAAAGGTAAATTTCATGATTATTCACAGGCTCCACATCATACAAGTACTAAAAACAATAAACCCTAGATTAACAGATCAGATTTATTTAACTACATTACCAAGTTAAATGCTCCAACACCCATGCAGACTCCACTCTCAAAATGTCTCTTTCTTCCTTCATCTTCAAAGTTGCGTGTTTTCAAGATATGTAAGCATTCTCTAGGGTGATAAACAAAAATAGTTGTTGTCTTTGGGAGATTACATATTAGAACATTGGTCTGTCTTCTTCACGTATGATCAGCACTAAGCAATACAAGATTTATATATCATTACAAAAACAAAAGACACAGGGATTAAATGTGATAGAAATGGTGTCAGCAGGTGATAGGATACAGGTAGTGGTCAAGTCTGGTAAAGTGTATGAAAAATGAATAGACCTTGCCAAATACAGCTGATGTTGCTGGGGCCATTATAATGGTTTAGTGAGAAATAATTTCCTTTGAAGATTTCTATAGTTTCTAAACACTCTCCTTCTCTTTTAGTTTTGGGTTGGTTTAGAAGAAAAATTTCATCCCAAAGTATTTTGTGACCTTTTCATATTGATGATATGTTAAGGCAGATAAGTGGAAATCACCTCTAAGGATGTGACCTTGGTGTTCTTTGCATCTTTTTTCTAATGAACGTGACATTTGTCCTAAGTATTTCTTTCCACATTCACATGGGATACTGTATTTGCCCTGTTTTTGTTGTTTTAATAGAAATTATTTTGGGTTAGGTAGTAAGGTGTGAATTTTATGTGAAAATTTGAATACAATTTTTACATCAATGCACAAATTGTTAAAAATACTAGCAATTCATGGCACAAAAGGGAATGAAACAAATTTGCTATGTTTTGTGTTGTTCATAGGTGAAAGGTTACAGTTAACATAATATTTTTCACTGTTTTGAAATTTGATACAAACCCTATCTATGATGTTGGGGCTGAAACCTTTAGATAGTGCTATATTGTTTAAGTAGTTCAATTCAATTAGTAAGTCTTCTTGGTGAGTGGAATATTGTAGACCACAATTTACATAGATGAAGTAAGAGGACATTTTCTAAGACAGGTGGTGGTTAGATCTTATGTATGGTGGCAGAATGAGGTTTCCTGTACATACTGTTGGTAACATTGTTATTTTCTCTTTTTACATTAACATTTAAAAAGGGAAGAAAACTGTTGGATTCTATTTCATGTGTGAAAATTATGACACTGGGTTTAATGTGTATAAAAATTCAATGAAATTGAGTATCATATCTCTCTCCTATGTCACCATGTACTGAAAGTATCATCTCCGTATCTTAACCAAATTTCAGGTTTCTTGGTGTGCATGAATTTGTTTCCAGACATGTAGATGTCACTAAGTAGAGGGAAAAGGATGATCCCATTGCAAATCCATTATTTTGTTTGTGAAATTGGCCTTCATGTGCAATTAGTGTTGTTTAAGTAGTATTCTGCGAGGTTGATAAGGTGTTCTGTTACAGGATTGTCTAATTTTTGTTTTATAAGGCTTGTTCTACAGATAAAGGCGAATACAAATTTCATGTCAAAAGATACTAATATATGGTTTAGTTTTTGATTGTATTGACAAAGTCTAGAGTTTTTGAGAGAATAGGTGTTGGTTTCAAGTAGAAGGTTTAATCTATTAACTTAGAATTTAACATTATTAGTAATAACTGTCTTAAGTAATTTAAATAAAGAAATCCATTTATCTATATTTATATTTAAGCTGTTCAGGCATGAGCTTACATTAGGTGTCAATAATATGGATCTTTGTATGTTCTTATTTCCTTCAACAGTTAGGGCTCAAGATAGAAAAATAAACTTTAACATAATTACTTCTGTGTTTCCTTCTTCAATTTTGTCTAAATAAGATGTAGGACATTATAATAGTTTTAAAAACTATCTTTTTCATGGTATGTTTAATGTATCTAATCTATTTAACAAGTTATATTCAAGTAACAATAATAAAACAACATTTGAGGATAGATGATAACAATTAATTTTAGATTAATGGGCTTAAAACTTTCCAAGTTACATCATAAGTTCATCACTCTCATAGTTATCACATGATGAACAGTATATTTGAAAATAAACTAACCACTTTTACTTGTACTTGCATTTTTTTTTAAGTTTAAAGTATGATTTTAGATAACAATTTTAAATTTGTTTCTGTCATAATGAAAATGATAGTTCAGTAGAAATCCCTAATAACTTTAGTGTACACAGCAAAGAAAAAAATGTACACAGCACGGAAGTCTCTATTGTATGTATAAAATGTTAGTTTGTTATATATTTCCATGCCTTTGCAAGGCACATAGGGCCAGTGATTTTGAACTCTGGTTCCAAGTGGAACAAGCATATGAGAATAGTGATTCATTGCCCCTTGGATTGGATGCCAGTCCATTGCAGTTTAACCTCCAGTTAACAGCTGATACTCAACATACAGCTGGGTAGACTGGAATCAATGGGGTAAAGTGTCTTGCTCAAGAATACAACAGCATGACACAGGCCAACCTCAAACTCATAACCATCCAACTACAAGTCCAAAACATAAAACCACTGAGCCATGCTGCCCCCACTATTCTATGTATGGTCCACTAAAATTTTAGAATGTACCAATGAAAGGGTTTCACACACTGTTTACTACAATTACAAATATAACATCAGAAAATGCTTTGACTGCTCAATGTTTTTTGTGATTTATGCCTTTAAAATATTTTATGCACATGCATTAAATAGTTTTTATAAAGCAATAAAAATTGAGCTTAGTTTTTTAAACATACCCAATAATACTACCATTTGAGGGAAGGTAATTTTATAATGTTCACCTATCTCAATTTACTTCAAAGGTAATATATTTTGGGTGTTAACTGTGCGATACGTATTGTCAAACCAGGTTGACAATTTGTGGACAATGTGGCATTCTTCAAAGTCACAGATGTAAGCTTACTGAAGTGTTTAAAGAATTTAAAAAATACTTTGATAAACCCTCTCATTCTTCAACATTTGATGTTTGTATATATATATAAAATAACCGTCAACTTCAAAAAGATGTATGAAACTGCAAAAGAATATTCAAAGACATTTTCCATGAAGCCTCTAATGGTCAACATTCTAATTAGCCTTTTTAAGTTAATTCCCAAGCAAGTAGAGTACTTACAACACATGCAATGGTGTAGCTAGGGTTCTCAGCACCCGGGTGCAAAGATACTTTTGGCGCCCCCACCTATGAAATGTTTTGATTATTTGTTTTGTGACTCATTACCCACTTAATGACAATAACATAAAGAATTAATTACCGCCTTACACAGGCCTAAAATAAAGTCACAATATAACATCTCACAATATCACAACTGTAAACCTGGAACTAATGAAGTATAGCCTACTAGGTGTACTTACATAATTTGTAAACCATTTGATATTTATGTCATCCATTATTGTTCAAAGTCACATAGCTAGAGTAATATTTCAAGCATGCAGAATAAATTTCTGTTATATCCATAGTTTTGAAACTTATGTTTTATATGAGAAGCCAGTCACTTGTGGTGTACATGGATTATAAAACAGATTGATAAAATACTACTTAGGTTTACAAATAATAGAATTTATTAGTTTACAAAACTGTACATATACTTAACTAGATCTTGTACAGGTAGCATTCTGGTATTCATGGTTACACTATATGAACCTTTCGTGCTTTTGCTGCTGCAAATGCATCAATTAAATTATCAAAATTTAAGGTCTTTTCCAATACTTAATACTGGCAAGTTACTAAGTCATTCTTGAGTCACTGAGGTTCTCAGGTATGTAAAAATTAATTTCAGCTTGCTGAAGGACCTTTCACAACTAGTAATAGAAACCCCAGCTATTAACAAAATCTCCAATGCAGTTCTTAAATTTGAGAAAACATCGTAACCATATGAAACAATTAATGTTAGCAAATCAGTTGCAACTATTGGTTCAGGAAAATCGTTCTGTGTTCTTTTACTTAAAACATTCTACAGTTTTTAATTTCTCTGTACAATTCTAGTCCATCAATATCACCTGGATAGCACTTTGCTAAGTCAGAACATTTTTCTTGCAATTTTCCCTTTTCGAAATCTCCAGAAACAATATTTTGCACATCTAGTAGAAATCCAAACCTTGAATCTAAATCTAGTAGCGA